TATGTACTGGTTTTGTCAGCAGTAGCCGCCAAGAGAAGCTACGTGCAAAGCTGAAGGTAGGAACAAAGCTGCTTCGGGAGTGTGAGTCACACAGAGGTGGGAGGTAAGTGGTTGGACCCAGAGAACCTTGTCTGCGGTTGTTCCAGGCCTGGACTACCAGCTGTGTGACCCTGGCTCGGTTATTTAGCTTCTCTGCAGCTGTAAATGTATGCGCTCATTTGGGGTAATGACAGCACAGCCTGCTGGGGCTGCTGTCATATGCAAGGGGCTAGTGCAGTGGCAGCCTTCCCACTGTGTACTGATGGATTTACCTCTTCTTTGCCTCTCCCCACAGGAATGTGAGCTCCAGCCAGGGCAGTCCTTGTCTCATCTAAGGCTATGTGCCTGGTATGTAGCAGAGCATCTGATGTAGGGCAGGGCATGGTGACACACACATGTGATCCCAGCTGCTCAGGGGGCTAGGGCAGGAGGAGCACAACCTCAAGGGCAGCAAGGGCCACTTAGTGAGACCTTGTCTTAAAATAAAAAATAAAAAGTTCCGGGCTTGTATATCAATGGTAGGTGCCCTTGGGTTCCATCCTCAGAGAGGAAGAAAGGGAAAGGAAGGGAAGGGAGGGAGGAAGACATGGGATGGATGAATGGATGGATGGATGGATGGATATCTATACAGAAAGGATATACAGCACATAAGCTTCAGAGGATGGGTAGTTGGATGGACCAATGACTCCATAGCTGACTGCTTTCCTTAACAAAAGCCTAAGCAAGATGGCAGGAAGGATCCAGAGCAGACTGTGACTGAGCTCAGTTCCAGCTGCTGGTAAAGCTCTAGGGAGCTTCCCAGGATTGGCCTGGAGTGGAGCAGGGAGAGCCCTTGCAGGTGGAGGGGAGTAGTAAGCACAGGTGTTGTGCACCTCAGCTCTTATACCCATGTGCAGGGGAAGTTATAGAGAGCTAGAGCTAGATGGAGATGGAGATGATGGAGATGGAGATGGAGATGGAGATGGAGATGGAGATGGAGATGGAGATGGAGATGGAGATGGAGAGGATAGAGATAGAGGCAGTGTTTGTGATACGAGAAAGCATGCAAGGGCCGGCCAGATAACTCAGCAGACTAAAGCACCTGCTTTGGCAGAGTGCAGCAGTCCAGGTTTGATCCCTGGCATGCTGTCTTAGTTACTCTTCTCTCGTTGCTGGGACAAATACCCGACACTCAAAATGAAGGAAGGAAAGGTTTATTTAGCTCACAGTTCCTGGAGGTTTCAGTCCACGCTCAGCTGGCTCCAAGGCAGAGCAGCACATAGCAGAGGGCAGCCTTTCATGGCGGAGGCAGAGTCAGAGCGCAAGGGAGGGGTAGCAGCAGCTCAAGCAGCTGGCTTCTCTTCCCACCTCACATTGTAATGCTGATTACCTGCCCAGGGCAGGCAGCATCCACACCCACAGTAATCAATCACAAACTCCAGAAGCCTCCCCAAGACTGCTTGAGGCTTTGGGGGGACACCTAGACACAAACCATAACACATGCCATGCTGGCCCCGCACCCAGGGCATGCTAAGAAGTCGACTGAGACTGGGTGTGGCGGCACTGGCTGTGGTGGCGTGTTCCTGTAATCCCAGCACTTGGGAGGCTGAAAACAGGAAAATCACTACAAGTCCAATCTATGGAGTGTGTACTTTACATAATATTATGTTTTCAAGGTGTTATTCATTTTCCTACGAATGCCTCAAGTTTATCTTTCTTCACGGCCAGGCCCTACTCCATTGTGTATAAATACCACAAGTTATCCGTACCCGTTTACACAGAAACATTTTAATGGAATATTCTATGAAAAGGTTGAGTATTTGCATCACAACATGGTTAGACCCCTCCCTCGTTTTTCACTTCCACAGATGGGACCAAGGTGAGTTTGGCTGCATGAAGTTAAGCCCCCCAAACAAAAGAGCTGATGGTTTGGTCTGCACAGAGCCACTGTCCCCAAACACATACCTTATGACATCTAACCCTCACCCCACAGGTGACTCTAGTAATCTATACCCTACAGAGACCCAGAAAGCTTCACTAATTTGCCCTTCCTCAGTGGCACCCTAGGGGCCCCCACCCGGCCCCTGCCCCCAAAACCTATCCATTCTTTACCCTCTCTGTGTCTCATGGAGCAAACACACACCATGAGTAGGGAGCACTGTACCACAAAGAGGCCCAGACTCTGGAAAGACTTGAATGAAGACAACTGGGTGTGGAATGAAAGCACCCCCTTCAGGCTGCACATCTCAGAGCAGGAAATATCTCCAATGCTGATGAAAGGACTGTGGATGCACACACCCCCTCAGGCCCACACTGGATCAGTCTGAGAACTCCAGTCCACCACTTGCCAAAGATCACTTACAAGACCATCTCTGTCATGGGGACTGTACCAGAACCCAGTCTATGTTTTCTTTCATTCAACACTCAAAATGCTGGACTCGGTGACCCATGATTGTAATCCCAGCACTTGTGAGACTGAGGCAAGAGGATAGGGAGTTCAAGGCCAGCCTAGGCTACATAGCAAGACATTGTCTCAAAAAACTAAACCAACAGCAAAAAATGCTCAAAGCAATATTAAAGGGAATATAGATTTATTCCCATCTTAGAGACAAAAACCAGAGACAGCTGTCTAGGATCATGCAGTCAACAGGTGTCATTCATGTGCCCATCCCCACAATCCTCAAGTCTCCATGGAGTTTTTTGGTTTTATGTTTGTTTGTGTTTTAGTGTATTTAGTACAGGGTCTACAGGGTCTCCCTACACAGATGGACTCATAGTGATTCTTCTGTTTTCAGCCTCCCAAGTATGGGGATTATAGGTGTGTGCCACCACGCCCAGTCTCAGTCGCAGGCTCAGCATGCCCCAGGGACAGACAGGGTGAGCATGACACGCTGGGGATCGAACCCAGCCACTGCACCCTGCTGAAGCTGGCACTTCAGTCCGCTGAGCTATCTGGCCGGCCCTTCCAGGAGTTTTAGGGCACATCCGCTCTGGGTTTGTGTCCCACTCACTGTGTGTCATGGCTCCAAGGGATGAGAGTGTCATTTGCAGGTCTGGATATAAAGAAAAAGTCAACGGGGTTTGCAGCCGTTAGCTTTAGGTGCTGTAATGCTGCGTAGTGAACAAGGGGGAACACTGATTAGGTTAGAGTCTGTAGCTGGAGAAGGCTCCAATCCAGGGGGCCCAACCTTTGCACAATCTGCAAGTTGCAGGGGACCTTCTGGTGGCAGCAGAGGCCCAGGGGCACAGCAGAAACCCAAAGGATGAAGAGCAGCAGTGCTCCCAGGGGCAGGGAAGTGTGTAGCACCCATGCAAGTGAGAGGCGCAAAAGGTGTGGCTGCGAGGAAGAATGGGACCTGGGAACCATTCTGCCCCCCTCTTCCCCAGTACCTGGCAGGATCTGGTAACAGAAAGGAAGCATAGGAAAAAAAAAAATCTCAAATTCCCTCCAGAAAGCATCAGGAGTGTTTACTTCCCACCTCCCCCTCATGAGGGTAAACACACGGCAGCGGGCTGTGAAAGATATTAGCTCTATAATTCTTGCCTTCATTGTCTCTGATGATGGCATTGATGATAATATAATTTCCAGTTGTCTGGGTCTTGAAAGAGTACAGGGCGCTCATTATCTTACTGATCTCCCCATCATCCTATGAAGAATGCAGAGGAGGGAGAGAGCCTGGGATAATGCGGAATTAATAACAGCAACAATGAGAGCAGCCAGCCCTTCTTCAGCTCCTGCTCTGCTCCAGGAACTGATGAAGGCAACTGACTCATTGTGTACTCATTGCTCATCTGCTCCTGTAGGATCTGCCTTGAAATTGCAGGGGATCTGTGTCCCAGTGGTGTGGCTGGGGCAACATCCTTACCCTCTGTGTGTGTGTAGCCTAAAGCTGTTGTCACAAGTGGCTACAAACCAGGTCCTTTAAAAATAATAGAAATGTATTTTCTCACAGTTTGGGAGGCTAGAAATTCTCCTTTTATAAGGCTAGCAGTAACACTGGAGTAGGACCCACCCTGCTTGTGCGATAACTCCTTACTAATCCACCCAGTGTTAACTGAGATCTGCAAAGTCTGGGTTTGCATGTCTGAGGCTCATGCACGTGGATGGGCCACCATCCAGCTGGGGCTCACCCTGAGCCCTGTCTATCCTTTTCCATCTACAGTTTCTATAGCTGATAGTCGCTGAGAGAACTGTAAGCTACAGCAGGAAAGCTCTTAGCTCAGACTCCGGCACACTGAAAGTACTCAACAAATCGCAGCTGTCACTGTCCCCACTTCAAAGGTGAAGGAATGAGGTCCAGAGAGCCAAAGTTGACTGTCATCTCCCAAATTTCGGCTGGGTTTTCTAATTCCTTGGCCAGAGCACCATGCATGTAGTAAATGCGCCAAAAGCACTTCATGCCACCCACTGGGCACAAGTCTGATCACAAAGTCCTGTGCCCACTCAGGGCTGAGGTGGGGAAGCCGCCATCCAGTACTCTCTGATTGCACTGGTCTCACCTGCAGTATCCTTGAGACCAGGACTTGCATGTCGCATGCCTCTGCCTGGGTGGGGCTGACACACCTGGGTGATGAGGGTTACTATTAATAGTGAAGTTCGGATTTCCCAGATTAGCCCATCTCCTGCAGGCAGCTGCCTTGCTGAAATCCTTCCTACAGCTGTTTTTTTCAGCTGTTAAAATGCCTCGGGGCCGTGTCAATGCTGTGTTTCTCCCAGGAGTGCACACTATCCAGAAGTTCTCCACCAAGACAGAGAAAGCCACATTTGACATTTGGTAAACTCCACTGTGAACAAACCTCACCTAATCTTACCCCTACTTGGGCTTTCCTGGGTGCCCAGCTGATGTCTCTGGGAGTCAGGGACAGGTTAGGGTGTGTGGGGTGTGCTGGTGTGATGTGGGCAAGTTTGGGCAGAGCCAGGACTAAGAAGATTTGAAGGGAGAAGAGGTCTGCTTAACTGCTGTTCTGAGACACACCCAAGACCCCTCAGGGCTTCAATTCCCCTCCATTTCCCCCAGAAGGAAGCCACCAGATCACAGTGGGAGGGAGACCCAGGAAACAGACACAAACATACATGATCCCTGCAATCTAGACTCAGACAGGGGGTCAGACACAACTTTGTTAATTAATCAATGAGCCCAAGGGCCTTAAGAGAAGAAGATAGGACCATAACCTTCTGGGACAACCAAAGAAAATTTTATTGACAGGTAGCATTTGAGTGGATTTTGAGGATTAAATAGGAGTTCAACAGTGTTGTGATTTATTTATTTATTTTCAATGAGCAGAATATATTTATTGAGAGAAAATAAGCTCCTGTCCAAGAGAGGGACAGGAGGGGGGCCCGAGCAGGTAGTTCCCCAGGAAGCTGTCTCTTCCAGGGACTTTTATAGTGTAAAACCCATGTGAGGCTAAGGTAGAGGAATGGGAACTCGCTTAGGTGGGCAGGAGGTGGGACAAAACTATGGTCAACCAACGGGATTACATATGGGACAGGGTCTTTTCCTGCTGGGGTTGGAATGAGGGATAGGGTCTCTTTCTGTTGGGGGTTTGGGCTAGTGACTCACTTGGGTCTTTCCAGGTGATTGACACCTATTTAGAATATCAATCCAAGGTGCTACTTGTTTAGCATTTGTTTGGCCTTTAGGTCTTTAGGTCTGGTTCAAAGCAGGTGCATCCGCCCTCCCACACTTGTAAGGCATCTCATCTTCTGTGCTGTCTCCTTCAAGGGCCTGGCCCTGTCTGACTGCCTATAATATTTTTATCTTACTTGACTGCCTGCAATACTCCCTCCTCTGAAGAAGTAACCTGAACTGCCGTGAAGGGAAATATGGGCAAAGACCGCTCTGGCTTCTTCACGCTGAAATGGGTGGTAGTTGTTGACTGGCAGTCAGATATATTCTTTAGAGGTTTTATCTAAAGGCCCTCGATAGATGACAGGCATTTTTCTCTTGGGTAGACGTATAGCTTTGAGTCATTTTCCTTTTTAACATCATCTTTCCTTTTTACATCATCATAAACTAGCATCACAGTTGATACTTTCCTCTTATTTAAACAGCTCTTTTTAACACGTAAGGATCAAACATCTTCCGGTGCCTGATGAAGCACACTCTAAAGGAGTAAGAGACTTTGACTGTGAGATTCCCATATCTCCGTCCAATGATCTCAGTGGAAAACTCCAAAATGATACAAGGAGAAAAACTGGTCTCAGGTGGGTGACCTCCAAACCATACAGGGAACCTCCAAATGACATAGAGAAAAACAATCTCTGGACCTGACCTGCACGAGTTCGTGTTCTCTAAAACCAAAGAATGAATTTTAGGAACAAACGGAGGTTATGAGCAGAATATATTTATTGAGAGAAAGAAAGCTCCTGTCCAAGAGAGGGACAGGAGGGGGGCCCAGGGAGGTAGTTCCCCAGTGTTGTGATTTAAATCAAGAATGAATGCTCGCTTTGGCAGCACATATACTAAAATTGGAACGACACAGAGATTAGCAGGGCCCCTGCGCAAGGATGACACGCAAATTCGTGAAGCGTTCCATATTTTTTTTTTATTACTACAAAAGCAAATGGATCTAAATGACTACAAAAATGTCTAAAATATCAAGAGGAGGGAGAAGACAGTATCTGGAGAGGCAGTCAGACTGCTCAGGAGCCAGCAGGTCCCAGGGCTCCCTGTCCCACATGGCCTTCCAGCCAGCATCAGCAGGAGCAATGGCTGGGCAAAGAGCGTCCAGTCCCAAGAGTGACTGAAGACACCAATGAAATCAGACACAGAAGGTTAAATACCACATTTTATCTTGCATGAAGAACTCAACATATAAATAAAAAGTAAAGTAAAAGATAGATTATAAGAAACAGGAAGATAGACTTTTGCAGATAGGCAGGGAATCTAGGGATGAAGGAAGAAGGGAGGAAAGAGATGGGAAGAGAAGCAAAGAAAGATTAGGATGGACATGTACATAGACCAACTTCCCAAGAGGAATATATTCCTTATGTATCACAAATATGTACTGATACAAAATAAATTTTAAAAAGAAAGAAAAAAAATAAATAAATAAATCAAGAATGACCTCCAAAGCTCTCATGCCCTTAGATACAGGTTAGGAGTGGGGGCCTTGGAAGGCGATTAGATCATGGGGGTGTTGTATTCATTCACTGATTAATCTATGAATGAGTTCAAGATTAAGTGTACTATTGGGAGGTGGGTCTGGTGGAAGAGATAGGCCTCTGGGGTGAGACCTGAAAGGGTACATCTCAGGGCTGGTGAGATGGCTCAGTGGTCTAAAGCACCTTCTTAGAACAAGCTAAGCTAAGCAAAACACAGGTACTGTGGTTCAATCCCCCAGCACCACATGCCAGCCAGGCCCACCCCCTGGTGGGCTGAGCTGGCCACACATGCACTAAATAAATAAACAAATAAATTAAAAAAAAAAAAGAATCTTATTCTTCTTAAAAAAAAAAAGAAAAAGTACATCTCCCTCCCCCGCTTCCACCCTTTGCTGACCACCATGGCTAAGCAGCTCTCCTCCTCCAGGCCCTTCCACTGCTGCCCCTGCCTTGGGACAGCCAGCTGTGACATGTGTCCTCTACAACTCCAGAGCTCAACTAAACTTCTCCTTTAAGCTGTAGGTGTCAGGCATCAGCAATGAGGACAGTGATTGAGACCAATAGCTTATGGCAGAATTAGTACCAGGAGGGGGGAATCCCAGGTCAGGTACAAGAAATGAGAACTGGCTCAATTTGAAAAACCAGACTCACGGGAAGAGCAACTAGAAGGATGATAACATATCAACATCATCTGCTTTGAGGAGTCTACCCCTAAATACACACACATAAGACCTACCAGTGCCTCAGTGTTGGTTTTGCCTTGTGGTGGATGAGCCAGGAGCCATTAGTAGGCGCTCAGCAAGTGTCTCACCAGGCTGCAGCTAGAACATACCTCTACAAATGCCTCTGCTCCTGGGGACCCAGCCTCCTGGAGAAGCGCCTCCACTGAACCCATGAATTCCATCCTCACACCACCTGAGGAGGTAGGGAGGGTGAGCCCACTTCACAGGTGGAGAACATGGTTTCAAGATATGGGGTGACATGCTTAGGGTCTCAAAGTGTGGAGTGCTGTAAAAAATGGGAGCTAGAAGGCAGATTTTTCCAATGAACTTATAGACATTGCCGTCTCCCTTAATCATCTGGTGTATTTCTATTGAGGCACTGGGGATAATGTGGTGATACAGGCTAGAAGGGGGCTGACACATGAGCTGAGTGGTAACTACCAGCTGGTGTTGGCAGAAGAAGCACATGGAAGGGAGGAGCTCCTGGTGTCCCCAGGGACTGGGAAGGTTTCCAGAGGAGGCGCCTGCCTGAGTCTGAAAGGATCTCTCCAAGCTCAGGAAGAGGACAGCCAGAACTCTTTATACAAGAACTCAATGTGCTATGCACAGGGGCACAACATGCAAAAGAAGTAGGACGTCATGAACATAGGCGTTTTGTCTGTTTAGCAAAAGATTCCGGGCCTGGCCCAGCATAGGCATTCTATGAATATTGAGTCAATGAATGAATGAAAATTCAGAAAGAGTCCAAACCAGAAATGATTTCCATCTTTGCCAACTGATGTTTTCACCTTCAAGAGTTCCCCTCTCCACCCCGTAGGCAAATCCCAGCACCTCTGGTCATTCTAGTATAGAAAGCTATCAGAGGGCTCAGTAGGGTGAAACCAGAAGGACCCGAGCCCAGCAGCCAAGCCCAGGGAGCAGAGGCTTACTGCTAGTGGGGCCCAAACTAAGGCTCAGACCCATGCGGAGGCTCTTCATGGTATGGAGCTGGCACAAGGAAACTGAGTGAATCCATCTGCCAGAAGACTCTAGGTACACGAAGAGGAGGTGCCCAGAAAGAACTCAGGGGAACTAATTTAAATACAAACTTCCAATTTACGATCTCCTTTGGTATATAGCTGTAATATTTGCTCCTATGGTCTAAAGTATAAAGCCATTAGCTACAAAAGTTTGTCAATTTCTAAATTTCACTAGCTGTTATTAGGTTTGCTAGTTGTACTACTGTAAATAAGATATCATCTGTGCCTTAACCACGGGTTCTCCCGTGGGTAATAATATCAGCAGGTGCATGGGTAACAATCTCGTAAAAGCCCTATACTGAAGGACAGAGGGCAGTGCCAAATGGAAACCAGTATCTCATTCTGAATCAGTAGAAAAGGCAAAATCGGGGCCAGGGAGATGGCTCAGCAGAATAAGCACTTCCCTGGCAAGTGCAAGGGCCTGAGTTCAATCCCCAGTTCCACAAAAAAAAAAAAAAAAAGCCAGTTTGAACCAAACAGCAAAACCCTGTCTCAAAGACAGAGAAAAAATAAAGCTTGCAAGTAAGAGTTTTTTTCCCAGGAAAAAGAATCCTCTAGCTCTCAGCATAGCTATAATTTTTCCCCAGGTCACTTGGCCTCCCTTAATAAGACTCCCCATACCTCCTTCGATTTTTTTTTTGGGGGGGGGGGACAGGATGCCACACCCAGCATTAGACCCTTTTTGCCTTGCATCATCATATTTCCACTTCCTTACTGCATATCATCTGTTCCCAGGAACTAAGGATATCACAACTTAAAAAAAATTCCATGTGGCTATGGTTGCTGGGCTGGCTCACCTGTGGATGGTGAGGTATAAGCGCATGAGTTCCGTGAACTGAGCATCCGTATAGCCTAACATGTTAGTGAAATTATGGGACCAGTCCAGCTTA